GACTATAGTGTTTCTTTAATGTGAGGTTAATTAGAGATTAGTGCAACGAATAATATACTAGATTGCCTTCTTACAACCAGATGAGGATGATGATAGGCTCTAGCTGCAGTCTGGCTCCACTGGTCTGGTGTACAACAGGCTCTCTGGAGGCGGTTTGTAACTGTGGTCACAAAATCAATGTTCTGGGAGAATGGGAAGCAGCTCAATTTTTTGGGGGCCCTTTACACAGCTCAAGGTCTGGGTCCCAGGGTCCACCTTCATGTTCCACCAATGAGTTTGTTCAAAGGGAGTGGAGTGTGTAGGGGATGTCCTGATGTGTGTAAGGAATACATTGTGTGAATCTGTGTTTGTATGTGTAAGGGCTGCGAGGTGTGTTTGTGTATGCAGTGTATGCGTCTGTAAGGCATGCATTGAGTGTGTGTAATGAATGCATTGTGTGTTTCTGTGTAAGGGATGCATTGCTTGTGTATGTGTGTCTGTGTGTGTAATGCATTGTGTGTTTTTCTGTGTGCAAGGGGTGCATTGTGTGTGATTATGTGTGTGATGGATGTCAATCTCCCCGCCGTCAATTTCCTCCCCGTCAATTTCCTCCCCCCCTCCAATTACCTTCTCCCCCCTCCAATTTCCTTCTTCTCTCCCTCCCTCTCCAATTTCCTTCTTCTCCCCCTCCCTCTCCAATTTCCTTCTTCTCCCCCTCTCCAATTTCCTTCTTCTCCCCCCTCCCTCTCCAATTTCCTTCTTCTCCCCCTCTCCAATTTCCTTCTTCTCCCCCCCCCTCTCCAATTTCCTAACACACACTAACACACACACACACTTTATGGTTGTCATGCCCTGATGGCAGCCCTGTCCCCAAGTGTCTCAGTGCCCCCATGTCTCCCAGTGTCCCCATGTCTCACTGTGTCTCCTAGTATCCTACTGACATGGGGACACACTGAGACATGGGGACACGGGGAGAAATGGGGACACTGGGAGACTATAGGACTGGGTGACATGGGGACACTGACACTGGGTGACTTGTGAGACTGAGACACTGGGAGACAGGGAGGCACTGGGAGCAATTCATCTATACAGCCGAATCAAACTGTGAGTAGTTTGTTGGTGATTTTACAGAATTTTCTCTTATGTCACTCCTTGTGATTTACATCATGTGATGTCATGCATAACTAATTAATTATACAAATGGCTGGTATTTTTTTTCCATGAAATGTGGCAACCCTAACTACTCTTCACATACTCTTGCTTAAAGGAACACTATAGGGTCAGGAACACAATCATGTATTTCTGACCCTATTATGTAAAAACCACCATCTAGCCCCCCCTGACCCCTTCTTGCTTCCCCAAATATAGTAAAATCTTACTTGTATTCAAATCTGCAGATGATGTCTCTGCCTCTGCACTGACATCATCAGAAGTGGTGGTCTGAGCAAATTACAATGCTTCCCCATAAGATTGGCTGAGTCTGTCAACTAGGCAGACCAGGGGCAGAGCAAGCACAAGTGAAACATAACCCTTGCCAATCAGCATCTCCTCATGATGATAAATTGAATCAATGCATCTCTATGAGGAATGTTCAGTGTCTGCATGCAGAGGGTGGAGACACAGAATGGCAGTGCTGCACACTAGGCAGTACTGCACCAGGAAGCACATCTAGCAGCCATCTAAGGAGTGGCTAGTGGAGTTATTTTCTCTGAAAAGACAGCATATAATGCAAAAAGCCTGAAGGGAATGATTCTACTTACCTGAACAAATACAATAAGCTGTAGTTGTTCTGGTGACTATAGTGTCCCTTTAAGTTTGGAAGCTTAAGAGGGATGTATGGCAACAAACTGTGGACTGGCTGACAATAAAATTAGTTTAGGTAATGCAGACTTTGGTTTCTCTAACACTGTGGCATGTCCCCTTTCTTCTACACTCACTACATACACCTTTACTCTGTCCCAGACTAAATACCAGGAGCTTTTGTCTTCTAGTAAGACGATAAGGAGACAAGTGGACATGTGAGTGCTAGGGGACAGCCCTTAGAAAGCGTGGAGTAGGCGCATCATTTGATGCATTTATGTCAAGCTCAGGGTGCTCCCTGCATAGTATGCCCTTAGTTGGACAGCCTGCATGATTGGCAGGCAGCCTGACATGCATTTATGCCAGGCTGGCCTTCCAATTCTTTGGACAAACATGCCCCCTTTTTGGGCATGTTCTCCCCTTTTGGCAGGTCTGGTCACGTTATTCGCGCCAGTGGCACAGCTTTTACCCTGCCCATTGACTTCCTGCTTCACTGGACACTGCTGTTAGGGGGTATGGATTTACCTGAAAGATGAAAGCATAAATTAGAGAGAGATTAGCATAGAGTATGTGTTTTCGTATAGCTGCATCCTTTCCCTCCAACACCATCTCCATCAGAAACACGACGCTTGGGAGGTATGGTTGTTTTAGTGTTTTTGGTCAATAAGATTCTGTAATTAGGCCCATCATAATTGTCAGCTCCAGGCCCACTGGGCTCTTCATCTGACCCTGGGTATGTTTAGTCTTTTGTAGTAGCCACTTAGCCACAAACACTTGCCAAAGTTAGAGTTCATATTTGTTTTTTGCAATTTTTTTGCACAAAAAACTGCACTTTTACTGGTGATTTCATCGTCTTAAAATATATTTTACTGTTTTAACCACTCATTTTTGTGTTCAGCAAAGTCTCCCGAGTATAACAATATCCCCTATGTACAGGTTTTATGGTGTTTTGGAAAGTAACAGGGTCAATATAGGGCTTGCCCAATTAAGTTTGCCAGATTGGTTTACTGGGTCTGTGATGCCTTTTCAGACCATATGGTAGCCCAGGAATGTGAAATAACCCTATCATGGCTTACCATTTTCAAATGTAGATAACCCAGGGTATTCCAAATGGGGAATTTCCAGTCTTTTGTTGTAGCCACTTAGTCACAAACGCTGGCCAAAGCCAGCATTTTTATTTGTTTTTTGCATTTTTCTTTACACAAAAACTGCACTTTTACTGGTGATTTCATCGTCGTGATAAGTTTTACTGTTTTAAACATTCATATTTCTGTTCAGCAAAGTCTCCCAAGTATAACAATATCCTCCATCAGTAGCATACTAAGGAGGGACCGGGGAGAAACATGATCCTGGTCTGGGGGCTGTAGGGGGCTGTGTGAGGTGTATGGCCGCACAGTGCCCCTTGGTAGTTAGGGTGCCGGGCGGCTGGACCAGCTCACACACGCAAAGACTAGCTGAACTGGCCGGATGGAAGGAAAGTGGGGGCGGGACTAAGTAAAATAGTGGGTGGAGCCAAACTGCCAGCGGGGGGAGGGGCTTAATACGGCCATTACCTGCTGCTGTTATTGCTGCAAATGGAGGTGAAGCAAGAAAGAATCTATGCTTCTCCAACTAACAGGCCCCAGGGAAGGTCTTCAGGGAATCCACTCCTCCTCCAGCCCACACTGTCTGTAAGTAAGAGTGTGTGTGTGTGTGTGTGCGTGTGACTGCCTGCCTGTAACTCTGTGTGTGTGTGTCTTCCTGTAACTGTGTGTGTGACTGCATGCCTGTAACCGTGTGTGTGACTGTCTGCCTATAACTGTGGGCATGTGTGTGTGACTGCATGCCTGTAACTGTGTGTGTGACTGCATGCCTGTAACTGTGTGTGTGTGTGTGACTGTCTGCCTGTAACTGTGTGTGACTGCCTGTGACTGTGTGTACCTGTATGCCTGTGACTGTGTGATGTTGCCTGTGACTGTGTGTATGAGTGACTGTAAATGTGAATGTCTGCCTGTATCTGTGTGCGTGACTGTCTGGCTACGACTGTGTGTGACTACCTGTAACTGACTGTGTGTGTAACTGTCTGCCTATAACTGGGTGTGTGACTTTCTGCCTGTGACTGTGTGTCTGTGACTGTCTGCCTGTGAATGTGTGCGTGGGACTGTCTGCCTGTAACTGTGTGTGACTGTATGCCTGTAACAATATCATTTCTATGCAGATGACACGCAAATCTACCTGTCCTCTCCTGATCTCTCCCTGTCCCTCTTGACTAGTGTCTCTGACGGCCTCTCTGCTGTTTCTAACTGGATGGCTGCCCACTTCCTTAAACTAAACTTGACCAAAACTGAAATTCTGGTCTTTCCTCCCTCAAGTGTTGTTACTCCTGTGTCTGTCTCCCTCCAAGTCAACGGTGCTACCATCAGCTCCACCACGCAGGCTCGCTGCCTAGGTGTTCTCTTTGACTCCGATCTCTCCTTCAAGCCTCATGTTCAATCTATTGCCAAATCTCAAAAACATTGCGCGCATCCGCCCCTACTTAACGCCAGATGCGACTAAGGTGTTGGTCCATTCCACTGTCCTTTCTCACCTTGACTACTGTAATCTGCTTCTCAGTGGTCTTACGTGCTCCCAACTTGCGCCGTTACAGTCCATAATGAATGCGGCGGCGAGGTTCATCTTCCTGTCCGCCCGCACCTCCCATGCCTCACCCTTCTGTCAGTCGCTACATTGGCTTCCTATAAAATATAGAGCTCAATATAAAATTCTGGTTCTTGCCTTCAAATCTCTACATAATGCTGCTCCCACCTGCCTATCCTCCCTTATACACAAGTATGTCCCGTCTAGGCCCTTACGATCTGCTGAAGACTTACATCTATCTTCTGTCCGTACTCCCACCTCTGATGCTCGCCTTCAAGATTTCTCGAGGGCTGCACCGTTCCTGTGGAACTCGCTTCCCTCCTCCGTTAGATGCTCACCCAGTCTACACTCCTTCAAAAAATCGTTAAAAACCCACTTGTTCATAAAAGCGTATCAATTAAACTGTTAATAGCTCCCTACTGATTCCTCTTCTGCAACTGTCACTAGTCTAATACTATCCTTACCTTTTTGTGTCATTTTACCCCACTCCCTCTAGCATGTAAGCTTATTGAGCAGGGCCCTCAACCCCTCGGTTCCTGTGTGTCCAACTTGTCTGGTTACAACTACATGTCTGTTCGTCCACCCATTGTAAAGCGCTGCGGAATTTGACGGCGCTCTATAAATATCATAATAATAATAATAAAAATAATAACTGTGTGTGTGTGTGTGACTGCCTGTAAATGTGTGTGTGGGGCTGCAGGGATTTTGTAGAAGGGGTTTTGTATTGGGATAGGAGTCTTTATAAGGGGGGCTGAGCAGGGGATTTGCGGAAGGGGGTCGCAGGGGTTTTGTAGACGGGGCAGTACAGGATTTGTAGAAGGGGCAGGACAGGGGATTTGTAGGAGGGGGCAGGGCAGGACAAGGGTTTTGTATAAGGGGGCTGACAGCGGTTTTGCAAAGTTTACAAATTTGTGCAATACATAAAAAAAGAAAAAAGAAAAAAATTAAAAATTTTTACCAGTGGTTTTGGGGGAGGAGGAGGGAGTGCAAAGCACAGGATCCACCCCTGGTGCCAAATGCTCTAGGTACACCCCTGCCCCCATGTACAGGTTTTATGGTGTTTTGGAAAGTTACAGGGTCAATATAGTCGGTCTAGATATGTACATACCGAGACACGAAGAGATAATATGAGGAAATGTAAGGTTTAAAAACCAAAAGAAAACAGTATCTAGATATCAAAGATATGAATAATGATGTTGTATAAATAAATAGAAACTGTCTACTATAATGATACTGTTGCAACGTATCAAAAATGGACTATCAACTATGATGATACTTTTACAACGTATCAAAGGTAATTGTTACAGTTAATAGTGCTTTTCAAATAATAGGCAAAACTTTTGCTGCTATGATTTACAGGAAATACTTCCAATACATCCAGAGTGTTCTTAGTTAAATGAAAAAAAGAGAACGTACGTCTGCTGCAATGATACTATTTCAATATATCTAGAGTGTCTCATTGCAGTAAGTCAGACTTTCCAAATAACCGGAACAGCATCTGGTGCTGTGATTTATAAAGATCACTTTCAAAATGTATCAAGTGTTCTTAATCAAGCTTAGAAAGGTGAAAATAAAAATAGAAATGAAAAAAAACAAACCCCCAAAAAACCGTCTGCTATTATAAACTGTAATCAAAAATGGACAAATGACAGCATGAACAAAGCCGTTCAATATGGCTGTTAACCTGCAGTGGGATAAACTGAGCCGTCCGATTTAGCTAATGACCTGCAGTAGATAGTATAATATCCAGGTATATATCATGGCAGTTACTAAATATAGCCTGTGCTCTAAGACCCCCAAAAAAGGAAATAGTAGGAGAATAGAAAGATATCTGTGCCTTCAAGCAGTGGTGTATCCTGGTTTTGTGCTGCCCTAGGCAGGACAAAACTCAGGCACCCCCCTCCCCCCGCGCCACCCCCACCCAACCCTTCCCCCCGCCCCACCTTCTAAATACACACACACACACAGTCAGACACAAACACACACACACACACACAGTCAGACACATACACAGACACAAACAGTCAGACACAAACACACATATACAGTCAGACACTCACAAACACAGTCAGACACAAACACACACACAGTCAGACACAAACACACACACACAGTCAGACACACACACACACACAGACACAAACACACACACACAGTCACACACACATACACAAACACAGTCAGACACAAACACACACTCACAAACACAGTCAGACACAAACACACACACACACACAGTCAGACACAAACACACACACAGTCAGACACACACACACAGTCAGACACACACACACACACTCACAAACACAGTCAGACACAAACACAAACACAAACACACACACACACACACAGTCAGACACACACACACATTAACTTTTTTTTTTAAATTTATATCCCCCCCCCAACCTCCTTACCTTTGGGAGTGCTGGGGGGGGTCTCTCTCTCCCTGGTGGTCCAGTGGCTGCAGGGCGGGCGGCGCTGGCAGGCAGGCGGCTGGCGAGGGAGCTCTTCCTCTGAGCTGACTGCTCAGCTCCCTCGCGCGCCGGCTGCAGAGTGAGGCTGGGAGCCGGAATATGACGTCATATCCCGGCTCCCAGCCTCACTCTGCGGTGCGCGAGGGAGCTGAGCAGACAGCTCAGGGGAAGAGCTCCCTCGCCAGCCGCCTGCCTGCCAGCGCCGCCCGCCCGGGATGTCAGTTAGCCGCAAGGCTAACAAGGCATCTGCCCTGGGCATTTGGGGGGCGGCGTTTTTTGCTGCCCCCTGAAAAATGCCGCCCAAGGCAAATGCCTTGTTTGCCTCGCGGCTAATACTCCCCTGCCTTCAAGGGCACCTACCAGGTATAGAAGCTAACTGCACGTGATGGAAAGAGGAGAGAGGAAACAGAAGTTGTCTATGGTAAGTAACTGTGCCTTCAAAAACACCTCTCTACAAGATATATTAAATTATAAAACTGGCTGGTTAGCGTTTGGATAACAGAATCCTTTTGATGTCTTAGTTAAGTATCAATGTACTATGAGCGTTGCAGCCATAAATAATAACAGCGGCTAAATGGTTAAGTTACAGCCATAAATAGTATCAGCGGCTAAATGGTTAAGTTACAGCCATAAATAGTATCAGCGGCTAAATGGTTAAGTTACAGCCATAAGTGGTATCAACGGCTAAATTGTTAATTCGCCTCCCGCTACACCCAATATCTAAGAAATTATAAACCAAAGTATAAGCTTTTAAATAATAAATAATTCCTGCAATTGCAGAGTATTGAGGTATTTGGAGGGATCTGAGAAAAACCCAGACGCGCGTTTCGCCGGTAAGGCGGCTTTTCAAGGGGATCTTGAAAAAGACCCTTTAGGGGTCGAAACGTCGATTTATTTGGAGATTTTTTTGCACATGTAAATTTGCATGTAAAATAAAAATAAGCACATTTGAAGACCTGTGAGTGCACCTTTTGTTCATATTTTTTGTATGTATAACGCCAAGGTTTGCACCCAGGCAAGATTTAGCTGAGATACTCAGTAAAGGGTGAGTGCCAAGCTCTATCTCTTTTTATATATATATACATACAATACACATGATCCACCGCACTCACCTATCCACTAAACAGCAACTTCAATGTTGAAAGATTGTATTTGTTTTTTTTAAAACACCTAATCTAGGCAAAAATAATGGGGGTTTAGTTACATTATATGATCATACAGTGCATAAGCCTGCCACAACGTCAATGTACCCCATCTTTGGCAGGTCCTACACTAACAGCCTAATGTCTGCTCTCATGAGATTAACCACTTACTTGGGGGGGGAAAGATCCATCTGGGGCTCTCTGCAGTACAAGGCTAAATAGGGCCCTGGGATGAGGCACCTGTGACAGGGAGGGGTGCAAAACCAAGGAGTTGGCTAGACTCCCAAATATATATATATAAAACATGGTGGGGGAGTGGTTGCACTCACCTGAACATGCATAAATGGGGGTACTGCTGGGGGCCAAATAATACAATACACAAGATCCAGCGCACTCAAAACAAATAAAATCTTTCAACACTCAAGTTGCTGTTTAGTGGATAGGTGAGTATGCTGGATCTTGTGTATTGTATAATTTGGCCCCCAGCAGCAGCCCCATTTATGCATGTTCAGGTGAGTGCAGCCACCCCCTTGTTTCATATATATATATATATATACACACATATATATGCACACACACACACACACACACACACATAATACGTATGATATCATATTCCGGCTCCCGGCATCATTCTGCGGCGCGCGAGGTTGCTGAGCAGAGAGCTCACAAATCAGAGCTCCCTCGCCAGTGCCGCCTGCCCGCCTGGATTTTTAGTTAGCCGCCAGGCTAACAAGGTATTTGCCTGGGCATTTGAGGGCGACAATTTTTTGCCGCCCATGGCAAATGCCTTGTTTGTCTCGCGGCAAATACGTCCCTGCCTGCGAGCTGTATAATTCCTGCATATTTCCTCCTTCCATCAATACAGTGTGAACAGCCATCCCAACACAACTGTAGTTGATTTTAATCAGAAGCCTACAACCCTTGCATGGATGTATTGTGGCCTGGGGACAAATTCTCCTCTGCCACTTTTTTCCCCTCAGCCCCTCCTTTTATGCTGTTTTATGTGTAGATTTGAAGAAAGGTATCAAATGTGTGTATTTCTCGCTATGCATTATCTATGTCTTTTCTATAACTAATAATGATATCAAACTATTCAACCAGGAAAAGTTTGCCTGTATGTCCCAGGGTCTAAATGATATTATTACGCAACTTAAAAGAAAACTCCAAACACATAAGTGCTGTAGTGTTTATGGTGCCAAAAGTGCCCTGATACAGTGATCTGTGTATGGCCCCGCCCCCTCAGACTGAACACAGTGATTTGTGTATGACACTGCACCCTCAGACTGAACGCAGCGATCTGTGTATGGCCCCGCCCCCTCAGAGTGTAGCATACACCGCTACACACACTACTACACTTGGTCCCCCATTGCTGAACACACAGTCTAAAAAAACTCACACTGACACACATATTTACAGTAATACACACAGATACATACACTTACGCACACACTATTTAACAAAAATTCTTATTCTTCACATTTAAATGGGTGATATATTTTTTATTGGTTTGGAGTGGGAGGGGGTAAATGGGTGTGCTTGAGAATTCTGCTCCCGCAGGTGCTAGTGATGTAAATTAAGTCCCTCATGTGACCCACAACATGGCAACCTGTGTCATACACATCACAAGACTACGCATATCACTCAAACTGCCAAGAGAACACATCACATACAATGGACACAAACACAAAACATTGTTTTAATTTCATAGATTGGCAAATATAAAGGATAGAATATTGTGTAAATAAATCAAATATTTATTTTCCAAATAGGAAAGGAGTTCACCTCCAGGCAAATTCTACATAACATGATATCCTAGCCCTAAAAGAGCATTATACCCATCTTTGCTCGTTTGCTCACTCATGTACCCACACACACACTCACACACTTGCTCACACACTCACGCACACTCTCACGCACATTCTGGGTCTGGACTCCCATCCTCCTCCATTTCTACTCTTTCCATAGTCTCTTTAATCCAGTCCATGTAATTCTCCACCTTAGTATAGACACCAAATTTTCCACAATTGACTCCCCATGAGGTTATGCCTGCTGTGTACATCCTTCCATCCTGGAAGACCATGAGAGGTCCGCCATCGTCACCTTTACAACTGTCATGTCCATTGGCATCTCCAGCGCACAGCATGTTGGAGGTGAAGATGTATTTTTCTTCCTTGTTTAGTTCTTGACATTTTTCAATCTTACTGAGAGAAACCGTGGTAAATAACAAGTTTACTGTTCTTTCTTTTTTTTCAGTTGCTCCCCAGCCTGCAATATATGCTCTCTGATATAAGGTGGGAGACATTCCATGATCACTTCCTGGTAGACATATTGGGGAGATCAGAGGCCCCAGTTTAACTTTACTACAAAGCAGGATGAGAGCTATGTCGTGGTTATAGCTTACTCTGTCTTCATTTTCTTGTGTGATCCAGCTTGGATGGACAATTATTTTCTTGGCCTTCAAAAGGTTCTCTTGTTTCTTGTGACGTAGATTTATGACTCCTCCATACATTTCAGGACTCTCTTTATCCTGTACTACATGAGCAGCGGTCAGGATCCAGCGGTCAGATATGAGAGCACCACAGCCACGACTTGGTGAAACAAATGCAATCTGCCATGGAAATTGCCCAGGTTCGGCTATCTGTCCACCAAATATACGACCTCTGGGTGTCTGAGATGGTTTAAAAATGCCACATACTGCATAAATAATAATTTACATTATAAGAGAGCTGGAATTGGGGAAACACAAGTTAAAACAAATGTCGAAATGTAAAAAGTGAGTTGCAACTATTGAAACAAAGTCCAAAAGACAAACATGAGGGTACAAGATAGGGATCAACACACAGAATCTTCAACAGAGAGAGAGAGGGGTCATTATGTTTCAAATTAGATATTTGTATGATTTGTATATCACTCTGGTTTCTGTGTGCATTTATAAAATGCTATGATGCACTTGCTGTAATGGCACCCCCAGGCAAAAAAGGGTTAAACCGCCGTTTGGTAGATCTTCCCCTTCCAGAGACACAGGCACAGCTACTGCAGAACACCAATCCGCCGAACAGGAAACCATATGAATGCCGTAAACAGCCGAATAGGAAAAACCATTTGAATAGGTTTACACTCCTAGCAGTCAAACTGGAACAGCATACAATAAATCCCCCCAAGAATGAGACAAGGCTCTGTTTTGAGGGTCAAGTGGTGAACAGTCAGAGCTGTGGGTTTATTGTTCTTATGAAAATAAAAATACAAATGGTGAGAGCACTCAAATAAGATAATTACAATACAATTACCCAAACTGGATTGCCATCTAAAAGTAAACACAGATAAAAGAAAAACATAGGGTAATAACGTAATGATAGACAATTAAAGACTCTATTACTGGTCGCACTCACATAAAAAGAGCCACTTCGAAAGCTGGCTCAAACTTGCATGCCTTGAATCACAAACTCTCACTGGGCTTTCACTGGGTCCTTTCTTGTAGTTATGTTCCATGCACCACCAGGAAACGCAGGTTCAAGGGGTAACAATACACTTTATTATAAAAGGAATAAAAACTACACATAAACAAAGGAAGTCCCTTAATGATAAAAGTCCACAGAGCACCTGACGCGTTTCGGCAATAAGCCTTCATCCGAGGTGATTCTCATGATCCACGGCATGCTGTTTTTATATGTTGCTCCCTCGCACCCTTTTTCGCCGCGTTCGCGGCACTTTACTTCCGGGTCCGACGTCGAGACGCATCCTGCGTCATCACGTCCCGACGTCTATCCTCACTTCCGGTTGGGGAACATATTGGGACGTATCAGAGACGTCATAGAAAACGGAGCATCCTTCAATTATATTGCTCCTAACATTAAAACGTCCAAAGAAGCAAAATTGCTAAAAACAATTCTTATTAGAGAGAAATATAAACAATACAATCATTAAAAAGAAGATACAGATGATATATAAATAATGGAGGCAAAACTGGGAATCTGAATAAGAATGAAAAATTAAATAAATACTATAAAAATATAGGAATATAAAAAGATAAAAAAAAAAATAAATAAATATAAAATGGTATAGTGAAATATATAAAAATATACATAAAATAAAAATATATGGGTAATATAATAAATCCTAAAACTTTAAATATATCTATTGATCTCAAAATCAACATTAAGACCTTGTGGTGACATTGTATCAAGTTCAAAAATCCACTTCATCTCTGCCAATCCCAGAACATATTCTTTATTTCCTCCTCTCCAATGTATTTTAATTTGATCAATACCTATAAACTCTATACCCTTGGGGTCACCGTTATGAGCCTGTAAAAAGTGATTGGAAACATTATGATTAACAAATTTACGTTTTATTTATGTTTGTTAATCATAATGTTTCCAATCACTTTTTACAGGCTCATAACGGTGACCCCAAGGGTATAGAGTTTATAGGTATTGATCAAATTAAAATACATTGGAGAGGAGGAAATAAAGAATATGTTCTGGGATTGGCAGAGATGAAGTGGATTTTTGAACTTGATACAATGTCACCACAAGGTCTTAATGTTGATTTTGAGATCAATAGATATATTTAAAGTTTTAGGATTTATTATATTACCCATATATTTTTATTTTATGTATATTTTTATATATTTCACTATACCATTTTATATTTATTTATTTGTTTTTTTAAAATCTTTTTATATTCCTATATTTTTATATTATTTATTTAATTTTTCATTCTTATTCAGATTCCCAGTTTTGCCTCCATTATTTATATATCATCTGTATCTTCTTTTTAATGATTGTATTGTTTATATTTCTCTCTAATAAGAATTGTTTTTAGCAATTTTGCTTCTTTGGACGTTTTAATGTTAGGAGCAATATAATTGAAGGATGCTCCGTTTTCTATGACGTCTCTGATACGTCCCAATATGTTCCCCAACCGGAAGTGAGGATAGACGTCGGGACGTGATGACGCAGGATGCGTCTCGACGTCGGACCCGGAAGTAAAGTGCCGCGAACGTGGCGAAAAAGGGTGCGAGGGACCAACATATAAAAACAGCATGCCGTGGATCATGAGAATCACCTCGGATGAAGGCTTATTGCCGAAACGCGTCAGG